TATCCTACACAGAGTGATCTTGACCAGACATTGGCCTTGACCGTGTACTTATAGTTCACAGAAAAGCCTTGGCTGTGTTCTAAAATTGATTACTAGTGGTCTTGAGATCCGCTTTAGCTCAAGGAGGGGGCCAAAGGCTCGTGGCGAAAATTCTTAGCCCGAGAGACGGATTACATATTTCAGTAAGATGGTACATTTTTGGTGAATTTTTCAGTATATTTGATATGATGAGATTATAGTATGATTATCAGTTGATGTTTATAGCTTGATTTTAAGAGGATATTTAATGGCGTTATACAAATGTCTTACGTTTTGGCTATAATTACATGATGTTATCTTGTGAATTATTCAATTATATGAATTCGAGTTTCAATAAAAATGTAAAGTGGAAAAAGTATATTTATTTTCGAAATTCTCCACTCACTGAGCTATCAACTCATATATTTTCCTACGTTTTTCTTATCAGGCAGCAGTTGAGTATCTGGACATCTTTTGGAGTTGAGCTTTGATTTTGGAGTCAAAGCCACAAGACAGAATTTGTTAGTATGACCCACTTCATAGAAAATGTAGTCAGTATTTTGGGACGCATTTCCATGTCTAGATGTGATTTTCCATCACTTGTAAATAGTTATTGGGGTCACTATGTATTTTGCTTCCATATGTACATTTTATGTTATTTTCTTGGTAAAAGATGAGATTTCGGCTTATCGTTATTATATTGTGTTATAATTTGGGTTTCATGTATAGTGGACTACAGGTTGGTTAGTCCTATTTATAGGGAAGATAATATCGAAATTTTGTTAAAAATTATTTATAAAAAGTTGCATATCGTAGTTGTAGTAGCCTTGATGGTGGATCCGACCTTTAGTTGGTATATCATCGGCGCATGTCACGTTCTGGGTCTAGTAGTGTTACACGGGATAGGGCATGTCATTTTGGCCAAATCAGAAGGAGTTTAATGAAATGGAGATCACCAACGTGATGTGCAGGTAGAGGCGTATCAGGGTGGTCGACGAGTGAGTGATTCTGATGGCAGACTCCAAGGGTGTACTGGTGTGTACGACAATTTATGGAAACACTGTCTTCGGGAAGTTTGTTCCTTACATTATTTCTAATATTTTGGTGTTGTTAGTTTTTAATTTCAGGTTATACAGTGAAACCTAGACAATTTAGTCCTTTGCGTGTTTGGGATTCAATTGTGTTTGATTGGTTGCTATAGTTGTTGAAAAGTTTAAGGCGAATAATGACGGCCCTAAAGTAGTAAATCCACATCTTTCATTATTTAGGAACTGCAGATTGGTCCATTCTGGTATATTGACTTATCCCATTTAAATTTAAGCATTAGCAAGTCATCATGTGAGGCGACATTAGGATTGAGGTTATGGTGTGAAGTAACCGTTGTTTATGCTAGAAATTTAGTAATTATTTGTTCTATTTGAAGTGATAATTTAATTGCAAGTTGAAAATTGCTTTTGTATTTAATTGCCGTAAGTCACTGTGTGAGATTACATTCAATTTTTTGGACTTATTTTCACATTGCATCGATTATTTAGTTAGAGCACCTGAACTTGATTCGTTTGAACATTCCCTTGATTCTGAGATCTCTAATCTCACGTATCCTGGGAATATAGAATGTTTTATACCGTAACTTTATGATCACTTTGTGTGATTTATTTGCTCACTTTGGTTGTTCTATTTTTTCAAAATGTCTTCACATTTTGAAGTTGGAATTTTTAAAATAAAATGAGATTTTTCAATTTTGCAACAAAATATGAATAGGATATTGGTTCACCAGATTTTTTTCAAA